ACAGGACACATCGCTTCAGAGTGCTCCGAACCACTAGCTCAACTAAACCCCAACAAAAACAATGAAGCATCGGTATCCAGCGCAATAAATATATCCTTGCAAGCGTCCAAAGACACAAACCCATCTCAGTGTGAACAAATGTCTATTTCCAATATCCCGGAGATACCGAACAAAGTAGATGTATCAAATAAGGACAGTCACATAATTAATCAACCAAAAAGGAACTTTGATGAAATTATTGCACCTGAAGCAGATCCATCTTCAAGCAAATGTAACATTTTTCCACTACCTAAAGTCCAAGCAAAATCTAAAAAAGCTAAAATTAGTTCAGCAAGCACTTCTGAATGCTCATTTTCTCTCTTATTACTGCTAAAACTTTGACTAAAACTTTTTACTTGACCCTGCTAAAAACTTCATTGAAAATCACCCTCTACCTTTCCCTTTAAACGTTGATCAACTTAACATGCTTCTAATGAATATCACGGGATTAACAAATCCTATAACCACAATTCAAGAATATACCACAGACCTACCAGCTTTGCACTGTATGCTCAGTCAAGTTTATCCCCATTTAAAGGAACGATCCATAAAACGTAAATTCACGTCGATAAGGAAAAAAATCCATAGTTATCTTAACAGAGAGACATCGGATGCCGAGTGACACATCTCAGTTAAGCCAACATTAAAATTCAAGTCTCTACTTCAGTGGAATAATCCTAGATCAAAAATACAATGAGTGTATTAAAATTTATACAGATGCATCCAAAGGTTAATTTGGCGTTGGAGTAGCATTGGTAACCCCAAATGACACTTTTCAATTTAAACTTCCTCTAAATGCCAGAATCTATACTGTAGAACTATTTGGTTTGTTCAAATCCATCAAGCAAGTAAATATTAAAAACATTTCTTGTTGTCTAGTCCCTTCTGACTCTCTCAGCGCAGTCAAATCTATGCAAAATATATACCCTAAACATCCCATTGAGAAAATTATCAGGGCCGAATTAATGAAAGCTCAAGAAAATTTCAGAAGTCCAGTTCAGGAGTCCACTTCCTGTGGATACCATCTCATATAGGCATAGAAGGGAATGAAGAAGTAGATACTAGTGCGCGTAACGCTATCACCAGCGACGCATCGGAAACAGAGTGTTGGAGTGTCGTAGGCGATCTAAAAGTTTATTTTAAAAATAAGGTGTTAAGTGCGTGGAATCGGGAGTGGAATAACTCTAGTTTGAAACTTAGATCCATCAAAAGTGACATTTTTTTCATGGAATACCACAGCCAGAAGTAGAAGATGCCAAACTATTATTATATGTCTACGACTTGGACACTGTAGGTATACTCATGCCTATCTCTTCTCAAATAGTGAACCTCCAAAATGCGAAACATGCAATACAGTAGACAGTATAAAGCACTTCTTGATAGACTGTCCTAAATATGTAAATCAAAGACAGTCTTACAAATTGGCCAAATAACCTGAAAGCACTCCTCAACAAAAGTTTAATTCCGAACAACTTATTAGGTTACTACTTAAAATGTATAAATATGTTAGACAAAATTTAACTTAATTAATTGTTACAATTGTTCACAAATTGTAATTAATTGTTACAATTATTGATTGTTACAAATGTTAAATTTAAAAGTATTACAAATGTTACAGGAATGTCGCTAATAACCTTTGGATGGATGCGACTTGCCTGAGGTAAAATCTAATAAAATATTAAACATCATGAATTTTTAACAACAATATGTACATTCTTTGATAACTTTAATTACTGTAAAGGGTTTTAGTAATAATATTTTGGTGGCTTAGGCATGTTAACCTGCTTTTAACCTGATGATGGAATTATTATTTCGAAAACGTTTGTTATTTTAATTTAGCACCTTTTTTTAAATATACCTACTTACAAAGATTTAACCTCTTTTTCTTCAATGTTGTTTTTAATTTTCTCCCAGCTCGCGTTTACCTTAGACTTAACATATAAAATATGTATTTAATTGATATTGAAAACACGGGCATCACAGTTTTTATCACGTATAAGCGATACAGTGATGGTTTTCAATAAAACTCAACTGTTTTTTTTTTAATAGATTGGATAAAGAGTTCTATAAAAATCGATATTATACATCGATGAAACACTTTAAATCCAACTTCTCGCTTTAATCCAACGACTTGCTCGCAGTAAAAATTCTAATTAACTACAAGCCAAACTACTAGAAACTTCAAAGTACGACTACTAGAGATTTCAAACGAAACATATCGAATGTCTGCATGCAGATCTCCCAGTATCCTCTACCAGTTTTCACATCCTACACTGACGTCGAAGTAATTATTCACCATCGCTTCATAGCTCCATAATTAACAAAAATACATTGTATAGCGTGTCCTTATTTGCATGGTACACACACGTACATACCGTACTTCTTCTTATAAAACACAAAAGTTGACAAGCGGGTGAGTTACGGTTATGTTGCTATCGAGGAATTCAAAGTGCTCATTTTCTTGACTATTCGCAATTTTTTATCAATGTGGGACCTATATATGTATTATTTTATTACATTTCCTGTTACAAAAAGTAATAGAATCGGCCTGTATATGGATATATTATAGCGCAAAAGAAAACAGGCAAATGCTGTATCTCTCGATTACTTTTTAACTGAGAAGGATATAAAAGTGACGCATGTTAAATTCTTAATACTTGCTGGTCTCCTATCAAATTAGAATTCCAACATTTTAATTAATATTTATAATAAAAATTAATTAGTTCATAATCTGCAGTTACAAATAGTTCTAAATATAAAATTTTCATTATGTTCTTTAAAGTTTTAAGAATTTGTTTTGCGGTTTGTAGTTCAGTATTTCTATCTCACTTGCTCCATCTCCTACCTTTAATATTTTAAGGTGCTTTCTCAGTCAAAGTGTAAGCCTGTAATTCATAATGAATCAGCCAATCGCGTCCACTGCTGGACAATGGCCTCCCTCAGTTCTTTCCAGTGTTCTCTACACTGGGCCGCTTGTAGCCAGTTTCCTGCTACACCTTTTATATCATCGGTCCATCTAGTAGGTGGTCGTCCTCGGCTTCTTTTATAGTTTCTGGGCCTCCATTCTATAATACGTCTTGTCCACCGTCCATCTTGTGTTCTGGTTAAGTGCTCTGCCCAGTTCCACTTAAGCGTCGTTGTTCTTTCGATGACGTCTTGAACTCCTGATCTTTGCCTGATTTGTTAGTTTGTTATGTGGTCTCAAAGGCTCACGTTCAGCATTGCACGTTCCATGGTTCGTTGTTTAACTCTGAGTTTATTCGTAGTTTTTTGCGTGAGTGTTAAAGTTTCTGTTCCATAAGTTTTTACAGGCAAAAGGCACAAGTTTTATTTACATGTAAATAATAACAACAATTACTTAAATAATAATTTTTCGTTGTATATAATATGCATTAACAAGGGTGTTAATGCATATTAAATGCATATGCAAATTTTTTGTACTATTACCTAATTTTTTCCTTTTGACAGACTATCACTTATATACTTTTCGGATTTGGCACTTTATGTCATCCAATTTTCACACTAACACATAATTCACTCACTGCATATTAACATTATCCTCATCCTCTTTATCATCGCTATTACTGTCATCGCTATCACTGTCAACCGTCACATTTATTACCACATGATTAATATCGTCCACTAACCCGTCAATAACTCAAAAACTTTGCTCTTTCGTAATAGCAAGTTTACAATAGTTTTTCCAGCTGTCCACTGTTACTATACCAAATGCGGCGGTCTTAAACACTGTGTTGTGCGAGGCAATGTCTTTTGAGTTGACTTAATAACTTTTTAATTGGATTCAGCTCACAGTGCTATGGATATAGTCTCAGAATAGCATCATTTTTCTCTTTGTACATCTTGTCCATTTGATATTTTATGTATTCTTCTTTTAATGTATTTACGACTTCCATAAACTCTGAGTTTAAATAATCGTCTTCAAAGAAGATATTTTTTTTAAGCAACCATGTCTTAATTTGCTCTTATTAAATGATTGTGTCGGAATCGCTTCTTTTCTCCTCAAATGTTAGGAGGCCTGGTCCATCACCAAAACAGTTTTCTCTGGAAGATTAGGAAGCAGCATTTCCTTGAATCATTGTTCAAATATAGGACCATTCATCTCGTCATGATAATCCTCTGAGTATTTTTCAGCTAAAAGCCAAAAAGCAGCACATTCCACAAAGCCCAATCCACTACCAGCATGCACAAACGCATTCTTTGCTGAAGTCACTAAGAGATCCTTCCATTCTTTGGACATACTATGTTCAACATTCATCCAAGTTTCATCCAAATAAACGACGTTCTATCATGCAGCAAAGTATGAGACACGTAAGACCAGCCCCTCCACTTCCAGTCTAACGTCAAAAGCCTCGCCCACTGACGGCACAAGCACCACCCACCGACCAGTGGGAACAAAGTCTCATTCACAACGAAGTCCTGTCAACCGACGCCACAAACGATTAAGAATGATAATAATAATATATGTACAAGGAATTAAAGAAGACCTTATCACCTATGAAACAACGATTTGCTGTTTACCAATTTGAGACTGTGACACGTATGGAGACCTGCATACTATATTTTATCTACGACCAACACAACTAAAAAAGCTGATATTGTACATAGGTCTCCGGTAAGAATATATGTTTGTTTTAAATGGTTCCTCGATCTCCGATAGCGATTAGGCAACAATTTCCCTTGATTTGGTTTACAGAAACATACGGAGTGCATCGTATATACTTTTACCTAGATGGCATTATTGTTGATATATATATATATATATATATATATATATATATATATATATATATATATATATATATATATATATACCTTTGTAGTAAATTCTAAATTTATTTACAAAGTCTTCTTATTTTGCATCACCTGGGGTATTCTCCAACATTAGTAATCAACAAAATAAAAATATAAATAGCAAAAGGTATTTTTTATACTTTTTATTTAACTTTTTATAAATCTCCACATTTACTAATTCCGACAAAATATTCTGGGCATTTAATTTGGTAGAACGTAACTGGTGGATTGGGAACTCCCTTCATCCATGTAAATCTGAATCTGCATCCCTCTTGTAATTGTTCTGGAAGTTCGTTGCATCCCTCGAGACTAGTTACTCCTCCATATCTCTCACCCCAACCATCATCTGGTGCGTTCCACTGAGTTTTGCATCCCAGATTGAATTCACCTACTCCACCTCCGGGCATGAGGATATCAAAGTGGTTTTGGCCAAGAGCATCACCGGTATTGGTAACTTGAGTCAACATACGTTTTCCAGCGAGCTCACCTTTGAAGTCCATGAGCAAGCATATGCAACAGTCGTTGTAGTCAAGACCGCCAGCGAATGAGGCTGCTACGAAAGTGTAAGCCAAAGAATCGTTAATGATCTTGGGTGATTGGTTAGTGCAGGTGTATGCTACTCCACCAACTTCACAACCAGATTGTGCGTTTGTGGCTTTATCACTTGGAGTAACACCATCGGTCTGGCACGTTTGGATGGGGATACCGTTTTTGGTGTGGATTATTTGGTCCCAAGCGCATGATGGAGCGCAGCAATCCCAGTATCTTGTAGTTACACCATCACCACTCTTACCACCAGGTATAGGAGTTATATCTTGAGCGATAGTAACGCCCGCTGAAACAATAATTGGTTCGTTACTAAGAGTATTTATTCAATATTAAAACGAATAAATAAATATTTGTTAAGCTTGAAGTGGGAGAGTTGCCGGGAGTTGAACTGGGTGGGTGTAAGTTATATACAACATACTTAAAAGTATTAATAATATGATGTCGATGCACATAGATTTAACTGTGTGGGAATGGTATGTCCCTACTCAAAACAGCACTTACATGAGTTTTGGTCCGCAAGAGCCAGCCAACTGGATTTTTCATTCCAGAAAAGTTCAGTGCAGTGGCGGTATCAATATGAAGTTAAGATGATTACAATTAATAACTTTGTGGTAGTCAAAGTACATCAGAATATATTTACAATATATAAAATCAGTGAATAAACTTTTATAAAGGAAACATAAATTATGTCGAGACTATGCGTCAGATATAAGGAAGCTACCTGTTTTCCAACATCTGTAAAATTCAGTTCTGAACCATAAGTACAATAAATGAAGAAAAATGTACCAGGTAATTGGAGAGAAAACCGTTTTATTTGTTAAAAACTAGGTTTTTCTAGAGTGATATACCCAAATTCAACAACGAGCAAACATTTAATTATGATTCAATTACAGAATCTTTGTTGTGACGACTCGTTTGCATCAAGGGTCTTCACTGAGTGCGTACCTGTTCAACCTTGTTATGGATGTTTGGACAGAGAAGGTAAGGAGGGGGCCCTTTGGTCAATGCTCTTTGCAGATAATATCGAGTAAGTGAAGTAGAGTAGAGAAATGTTGGAAGAGAAGTTGAAGCGTGGGAGAAGGGTTATTGAAGAGGAAGGACTTAAGTTTAGCAAATAATGGAGAATATGTGGTTATGAGGAAGAGGAATGGTTGAGATCGTTTAATTAATTGAAGAAAAACTAGAACGAGTAGGAGAATTTAAATATCTTTGCTTCTGCATAACGGAAAATGGAATACTAGATCGGTCAAAGAAATTTAACTAAAAGCGAATGAGGTGGGAACTTTGTGATTGAAAAATCGTAGAAGGACTAAAAGTAAAGATATATAAGAGTGTGGTTAGACCTGCGGTTTTGTACGGCAGTGAATTAGTACGTGTATACAAGGTTTAGGAAAAACTATGAAGGTAGCTGAAATAAAAATGTTACAGTGTATGTTAGGTAAGATGTTAAGAAGAAGAATATGGTACTCAGTCACTAGAAACAAGCTGGTATAGGATTTCAGAATTCTAAAATATTCTACTATATATATTCTATTTTACCAATTTAAATCTGTTTCCAGAAAAAAAGGCTTTTCTAGCAAAATTGATTAACCATACTTATATGTATGACAAGAATATTGGTATATAGAAGAATATTATTATATAGAAGAACTGTACAAATGGGATCGTAACATAAGTGCTCATACAGTACTTTGTACAAAATATCATTTAAAATAAGATCTAATCCTAACAGTGACTGTATAAAAATGTTAAAGATAACATTGGAATGTATATAAAAATATAAATTGTTTTTGTTCAAAGGTTATCTCCAATATTATTTATAAAATAACATAAAGAGAAAAATAAGTTTCGAGACAATTTACTTACCAAGTGACAAAATAGCAACTGCTATTTTCAAAGACAACATATTCGGGTTAACTATTGCCAAAACAATATATTTTTTAGAAATTTCACTGCATTTATATACCTATCCATCTTATATAATCAGTTAATAAGCTGGATATAATTTGGCATTAGGTTATCAATAAACAAATACTTCCTCAAGTGTGCCTATAATTGATTATACTGATAATTTATTGCAATAATTCACATTTGACATCTCAAGTTTGTTTAATGCTGGTATTTATTTAGAAGCACGAGTATTATCTGAAGTCAAATTCCATTGTATTGTTTTTTATATTAGGATGAGATCTCCAAGTGAGTTTCCGGCACTTTGAAATACATGGAACATATCTACTACTCTACTGTCCACTAAAGGTGAAATTAGACTAAGCCAACAATTGGTAACATGTAACATATTACAGTTTCATGTAAAATGTTGCCGATCGCACTTGTGAAAGGATGTTTGTACGAAAGTAACTAAAAGTTGCCTTCAGTTAGTTGCTATACTTACAGTGGTCAGTATAGCAACTATAAAGGGATATACAAGCAAAACAACTAATCTTCATATTGTCACCAAATTGAGTTATTGCTGCCATCTATATTTTGGTGTTCATCTCTAAAACTTCACAAAATATTGTGTAGCAAAACCCTCAATATTTTGTGCATATTTAACGTCAAAAAATAGGGTTAATAGCAAAAACAGCAATTTCCATCGGTCTACGAATGGCAACACCTGCAATCTCCGTTTTGATCGATCACAGTGTATTACATGTTTCAGCCTTTGACGAAATTGCAACGCCTTTGAGCGTTATTAAGATTTTGTTAGAAGAATTAGTACGTATTTATTAAATTTATTGCTTAATAGTTAAATAGTTTTGGGAAAAATGCAGACTGAAGCTATTCCAGTTACACTAACAACAGCTCGTAAGAGAATTCAATAAAAACAAAAATGGAACAGGAATATAGCTAAAGAATTGCATTAAGCCATTGTTTAACTCCTTTCGGTAGGTTATCTATTTGGCGCGTTTATCTAATACAGTAAGTAGAAAATAAATATATCAAATAAATAAATTCGACGAAAGTAGAAACAATATTTTTGCAGGCTTTTCAGATTTAGCCATACGGCTCACACTCAGCCTCTAAGGGGAAAATTCACTCATCCCAGATACCTAAGGTATTAAAAGGATTGAACTCTTATGGTACTCTTTCCCTGTTTCCCTGTTATCGAGCCCTAGGTAACTTCGTATGTTGGATCCCCCAAAAATTTTCGTACACATCTGGACGTCGCGAGGAGTACAGCTTTTTGCTTGGCCTTATAGAGATGTTCATTTAAACCCAGCTGTTCTATGTTCTCTAGGAGGTTTTTGGGAATAACACCAGTAGTAGATATAATAATAGGTACTGTCTGGGTACTTTCCATTCTCCATTGTCGCCTGATTTGTATTTCTAGATCTCTGTACTTGGCGATATTTTTGTTGTATTTAACACATAAATTATTGGTGTTGGGTATTGCCACAATAAGTGTTGTTTGCCTAGTAATTTTATTAACTAGTATGAGATCCGGTCTATTATGTGCCACTGGTTGATCTGTAAGCACAGTGCGGCCCCAGTATAGCTTGTAGTTGTCATCTTCAAGCATTATATCAGGGATGTATTGATAATAAGGAAGATGGTCGGTTTGGAGAAGTTCCAGTTTGTGAGCTAGTTCTTCATGGATAATCTTTCCTACTAAGTCATGATGATCTTTATAATCTGTTCTGACAAACGCCTGGCAGCCACCGGTAAGATGTTGGATGGTTTCTTGGTCTTGGCATCCATATTGATATTTGTCATTTTGGACTTGGGGATCTTTGACAATATATTTTAGTTCATTTTTAGTTGGAATAACCTGATCCTGAATGGCGAGTAGAAGACCCTCAGTCTCGCTAAACATCTTTACTGAGGTCAACCAATAGTTCGACGCTGTATTGTCAACATATTCTTGGTTGATCTCATTGAGATGTCACCCATGCAGAGATTTACTCATCCAGGTGCGCATTTTTTCTTGCTTAGTCAGATGGTTTGTGTGCATTTCTTGTTCCCTCAGTTTAAGCGGCGTTGTATCATCTACTGCGCAAATTGCTCAATATAAAGTAGATGTCTTAGTCTCTACCTGAAAATAGGTAGATTTAGACTTTATTGTGTGACTAGGGTATACAGGGAAATTTATTTCAATTTAATATATCAAGACTTTACCGTTTTCTTTAAGTTTTATATCTTGGTAAATAAATTGCTTGGTTTTTTAAATTCGCTTAAAATAATAAGAAATATGAGATGCTCCATATAAGTTTGGTTATGTAGATTTCACTTAAGATATGGCACAAGAAAACAGTTTCAGAACCTTTTAAAACATTTTCATTGATATACTTTTACCAAAACTGCGAAGAATACCTAATAAGGGAAACAGTCGTTTAAAATATCTTTGCTATGGATAATAATATATTATTTGAAACGAAAGAAGTTGTTTCGATCTAATAACAAAACTGCTTTTACTTATAATCACATATTACCATCAACAACCGGTTCGATAATTTGCAATATGCACTATATAATGAGTATAATTTTGACTTTCAATGGGATGGTATTTAACATTGTCAAACAAGCGGCTGGTTATGTATATAACGTTTATGTAGTTAGGAAAATTATTTTCTCTAGTGGAGATAAGTAATAACTCATTCACATATTTAAAAAAAAAGTGTTTCTGACGTGGCTATACATATACAATACAAAGAGCATAAACAGGAATATTTGAGTGCGATATGCTTTTAGCGTGTAGACGTTTATCTGTAATTTATTCGTAATTTTACCTCTCTAGTGTCTTTAAATTCGTTATTGTTTTTGCTCTGGTGGGAGAAAACGCAGCATCCATTTGAAAAACAGTTTCCTCATACCCAAATGTTCATGTATAATAGTAAAAATGTTACCCTTTGGTAACTTTAGAGTGTCAGCTGTCACTTACAACTTTACTTTCCATAATGTTTTCAGCATTTTTCGATGGTTTCGGGAATAACTGCATTATTTGGCCTTCCGTAGCTCTCAGCATCATTGGTGTCGCGTTTTAATTCAGCAAACTGTCGTTTAATGGTTGTAATCGATAGAGCAGAGTCCCGGTAAAACTTTTTGAGCCATTGCTTAGTTTGAATGGTATTTTTCCTATTAAATAACTGATAAATCAATAAACATAATTGCTTTGGATCCATTGTTTATAAAAATTAAAAAAGTAGCGTCACTTTAAACACTAACTCAGTAAATAATAATCCGAGTGACATAAACATTTGAACAGTATACTTTTAAAGGTTAGGACTACCGAAAAGTCAAATGGAAAATTCATTAAGGTTGCTATCTCATGGTTTGACCCGGAACTTATTGACCAACGTATTTTGTTTCACTTGAAATTTTGCGTGTGCTAGTAAAAATTAGTTGAATTAAATAACTCATCATGTTACAAAATAATATTTACCTAACCGATAACCTATATTCATTATATGCATTATTAGGTATGTCAATACATGTTCAAAATGTTGTCTAATATTGGCGACGTGCAAGTACTTGGAGGGGATACGAGAAACGATCGTGCGCGAATAGTGGAGAAATCTTGCATTTTTTACTGTACATTTCATAGATTATAGATTTCATAAATTCATATTGTCAATTGTCATATTTCATATTCGTTTTGTTTATTTACACCTTCTGTCACTGAAGAAAATGGGATTTAGGAAATGCTGTGTTATAAATTGTAAAAATACAACAAAAAATTGTCAATTTAAGTTTTATTCGTTTCCAACTTCGAAGCACAAAGTACTACAAAGAGAAAAGTGGATTTATATCATAAAAAAGCATAAGTAACATAACCCAAATTATGCATTATTCTTGCGCCCGATTTTAAAGTCAGTTTGAAATAAATAATAAATAAAAGTTCACTTTTAAGTGTAAATTTTAGTTTCATAACACTCACTTAGAGTTCATTTTAACCCAAAAATCAAGTTTAATGTTTGAATTTTATTTTTTTGAAGTTTACAAAAATGCATCAAGTTCAAGTTTTTCTGAAGATGCATTAAGATATATTTGCTGTCCAAAAGTACACAGGGAAAGAATTACTTGTTCAAACCAATATGATGATATCATGGGCTTAACCTGCTAATTTATGCATTAGCATTATTTATGGTAATTTATTTTTCTTAATTCTTCCACTCTACATAATTCTTCCATTATTTTTTGACATTTGCCACTACTAAAGCCTTTCCCTTTGGCTCGTGCTTGGTTGAAAAGTTATTTGGTGATTTACTTTCTCAAATCCAGTTTTTATTATTGCATCCATATTAACAGTAATGCTGTAATTCAATAATATATTTATTTGTATTTACGCTACATCAACGTTTACCTTTTAATAACATACCGACATAACCTCAATCTTACTTTTTCTTCTTATTCTTTTTTGGGGCCACGTCCTTGACAGTTATCTGGTAACCTCGATCTAACATGAAAGCGCAGTAAATTTGGCTGATTTACGACACCAGGTGTCGCTGTTCCGAACTTGCACGGTCCCAATAGTCAAGGCGCAGTCGTATGTTGTTGATAAAAAACTGTCAAACGTCTTTCATTTTAGGTTTAGCACTGGCAAAGGCATTTTGTATACAAATTTTCATATTATTCCGCGTATTGAATTCATCGTTGTATAATATATTCTTGATGTATCCCAAAAAAATAGTCTAGTGGAGTAAGTCCTGGATATCTTGTTGGCCATTTCAGAATACCGTATCTGATCCAATTCTCGCTGTGACTATTACCTATAGTAGAAGCCACAGTTAAAATGCAATGCAGGTAAGATAGGCAATGTATTTCTTACGAATGAACGGCCAAGCACGTTGCCGGTTTGCCCCGAGCGGCGCATCAGGACCGGATTTAAGAATCGTAGCACTGAAATATACGCGCATACAACAATTGCCTACGGTTGTATAAAAGACTATTATTAACTTATTTATAAACAGTAACAGACATAACAGATAAAGTTGAAGATTGAGAATAACTAAGGTATACTCTATCAGGA